TTTCACGGTGAACAACACTATTCACATTACATAGCACATGTGATTTCAGTACAAGGTCGCATTTTGCATCTTAATATTGAGGGCCTGCGGCTTTGGTGTTAGAGATCACAGACATAGGTCCAGGCAACAGAATTCGACTTGCATGCAGCCATGGTAAGCCACTGTCTTTCGGCTTCTGCAACCTTCATTAAAGCAGCGCCCTCCTTTCCCATACCAAGCAAAGACTGTTGAGTGCTGCGGTTTTCCTGTTAACATGCAGCAGCAAAAACCAAACTAAACCCCACCACCACCCATCCAATTCTCTGGGATGATCACTTTACCCCTCCCCACACCGCGTGGCTGGTATCAGGTAAGATCCCTGCTAGCCAAATGCGAAAAGCTCAGCGCCAATGCCCCTCCCCCCACCGCTTGGCTAACTGCAGGGAAGGATTTCTTTTCAGCCACAGGCAAACAGCCCAGTAGGAACGGCCATCTCTGTCCCCTTCATTAAATTCCCGTATTTCAACCAGGTTACCATGAATGATATCACTCTTCTGAGGATAACACAGTGAGATAAAGAACGGCTTTTGCTTGAATGCCAGCAAACTCCAGGACCATACGCTGCCAGGCTTTGTCATGCAATGATACCAGATTACTTGCCACTAGCATGGCGTGGTCAAGTGTCCTACCATGCAGGACGGAATAAGGCTGCACTGCCCAGAAACCTTCTGCAAAGGCTTTTGGAGTACCTCCAGGAGAGCTTCATGGAGATGTCCCTGGAGGATTTCTGCTCCATCCCCAGACACGTTAACAGACTTTTCCAGTAGCTGTACTGGCCACGAATGCATCCAAAGTCCTCAGGGCAAATTAATCATTAAACGCTTGCTTTTCAACCATGTTTTATATTTACAAAGGTACACTCACCAGAGGTCCCTTCCATGGCTTCATGGTCTGGGATAACGCCTTGGGAGGGTGGGGAGGGTACTTCAGTCAGGCTGAGAAAAAGATCCTGGCTGTTGGGGAGAACAGAGTGCTCTGTGCTCTCTGCAAGCTCATCCTCCTCCTCATCTTCCCCATCCACAGAATCCTCAGGCATGGCTGAGAGTACCCCCTCCTCGGAATCCATGGTCAGGGATGGGATAGTGGTGGTGGCCCTCCCTAGAATTGCATGCAGCTTAGCGTAGAAGTGGCATGTCTGCGTCTCTGCATCTGACCTTCAGTTTGCTTCCTTGGTTTTCTGGTATGCTTGTCTGAGCTCCTTAACTTTCACACGGCACTGATATGAGTCCCTATTGTGGCCTCTCTCTCCATCATGCCCTTGGAGATTTTTTTCAAATGTTTTGGCATTTCGTCTTTTGGAACGTAGTTCTGCTAGCATGGAATCCTCTCCCCATATAGTGATCAGATCCAGTACCTCCCGTACGGTCCATGCTGGTGCTCTTTTTCGATTCTCGTACTGCATGGTTACCTGTGCCGATGAGCTCTGTGTGATCACCTGTGTTCTCCACGCTGGGCAAACAGGAAAGGAAGTTTGTGGGGCTTTTCCTGTCTACTTGGCCAGTGCATCTGAATTCAGATTGCTGACCAGAGCAGTCACAATGGTGCACTGTGGGATAGCTCCCAGAGGCCAATACTGTCGAATTTCGTCCACACTAACCCTAATTCGAACCGGCAATGTCGATTTCAGCGCTACTCCCCTCGTCGGAGAGGAGTACAGAAATCGATTTTAAGAGCCCTTTATATCAAAGTAAATGGCTTCGTTGTGTGGACGGGTGCAGGGTTAATTCGATTTAACGCTGCTAAATTTGACCTAAACTCATAGTGTAGACCAGGCTAAAGACATTACCTCACTTCCCTCGTCTCTTTCATATCCTTGGGACCGACACGGCTACAACTACACTGCATATAGAACCTATATTATTCAAAAATTATTACAGAACCGTTCCAGATCTGTCACAACACCCACATTTATCATGCTGCAAAACTATTCCTGAGGAATGCAAGTGAGAGAAGGGAAATGGTGATTTTAATAGTTTACAACTCAGCTAAACCTGAATGGAATTCCATGGGACAAAGAGAAGGGAGGTCTCTAGGCCGACAGCTCTTTGAGTGCAGAATTTTCAGAGGCCTGCTGCAAACAACTGAGATGTTAGAGCTTCTCAAAAGAAGGTTTTAGTAAACTTTTATAATAATGGAAAGTGTTAGACAACCAAAATTAAGGTGTTGCTACCAGCTTCTCCTATAATTATGTACATGTCCCAGAAAATGTTTGGTAACCACATTCAGTAAACAGAAAAATAGAATACATTTTATGCCAATATTCTTTGTAAAGAACCAGAATGCATTCAAGTCCTTCTCTTTCTCTTAAACAGATGGATACACTGCCACTTACTACCCTCTGCCTTTCCTCCACAAAACCCTTGGACACAGATTATTTAAATGAAGACCAAATCTTCATGAAGGAAAGAAGAAAGAAAATAACCATAAATACAGAAAAAATAACAATTTGTTTTTTGACTCCATGGATTTAGCAGGAATGAGATTAGGGTTTCTAACTTTCCAGGATTGTCCTGGAGTTACCAAGAATTAAAGTTTAATCTTTAATTAAAGATTTTGTCATGATGAACCTCCAAAAGTACCCCCAATCAGAATTGGCAACCCTAAATGAGATATTAACAATAAAACAGTTTGTGTACTCCAGAGTCCTCCAGACAGTTTGACGTTTGACTATGTAGTTTGTAGAACCTACATTGTCTCCTCCAGAGCAGCTGTGTTTTGAAGCCTTATACTGACCTTTGTCATAAATGCTAAAAGAGCTGTCTCAACATATTTATCCGAGCGTTGATTGTGATCTGAAGGACTGTTGTTAGTAACTTAATGTTAGAACTGCTGGCCTTGTCCTACAGCAGTGGTCATCATCAAACCTGGGGACTCTCTCAGTCAATCGCGATCTCCGGCGGTGTAGCGGGGCTGACGCTAAGACAGGCTTGTTCCCTGCCTGCCCCAGCCCCATGCCACTCCCAGAAGTGGCCAGCGCAGCCCCGTGGGGAGGAGGGCGGGGTGCGCAGGGGCAGGGGTCTCGGTGCACTGCTCCTGCCTGCAAGCACCCCCACTCTCGCAGCTCCAATTGGCCAGGAACAGGGAACTGTGGCCAATCGGAGCTCAGGGGTGGTGCCAGCAGAGAGGGGCAGTGCGCGGAGCCATGTGCCCCCCCCCCAGGAGCCACAGGGGTACGTTGGCCCCTTCCGGGAGCGGTGTGGGAGGGGCAGGCAGGGAGCCTGCCTTAGATTCGCTGTGCCGCCAACTGGGAGCAGCCTGCAGTAAGTGCCGCGCGTCAGGAGACCACACCCCAACCCCCAGCCCCTTCCCAGAGCCAGCACCCCATACTCCCTACTGCATCCTGAACCCCCTCCTGCACCCAAGCCCCTGCCCCACCCCTGAGCCCCCTACCTGAGACAGCACCCTATACTGCTTCCTGCACCCCTGCCCCAGCCCTGACCCCCTCCCAGACCCAGCACCCCACACTCCTTCCTGTACCCCAACACTCTGCCCCAGCCCAGAGCCCCCTCCTGCATCCAAACTCCCTCCCAGAGCTTTCACCCCTTACCCTCTCTTGCACCTCAACCCCCTGCCCGAGGCTCAGCCCGGATCCCCCTCCCACACTGCGTACCCCTCGCCCCCAGCCCAGAGTCTGCACCCCCTCCCGAACCCCAACCCCCTGCCCCAGCCTGATGAAAGTGAGTGAGGATGGGGGAGAGGGAGTGACAGAGAGAGCGGGGGATGGAGTGAATGGGGCAAGGCTTCAGGGAAGGGGCGGGGCAGATCCTGGTTTGCCCTTAAGTTCAAAAAGTGATCTTGGGTGTTAGGAGGTTGCAGACCACTGTCCTACAGTATATTACATGGCAGCAGTCCACCCTTTGGGACCCAGGAGCTCGCAGTGTGATGCTGTGGCCAAAAGAGCTAATGCGATGCTGGGATGCATAAACAGGGGAACATAAGAATATAATAACGGCCACACTGGGTCAGACCAAAGGTCCATCTAGCCCAGCATCCTGTCTTCCAACAGTGGCTTTAGAGGGAAGAGAACAAACAGGTAATCATCAAGTGATCCATCCCGTCGCCCATTCCCAGCTTCTGGCAAACAGAGACTAGGGATACCATCTCTGCCCATCCTGGCTAATAGCCATTAATGGACCTACTCACCATGAATTTATCTAATTCTTTTTTTAACCCTGTTAAAGTCTTGACCTTCACAACATCCTCTGGCAAAGAGTTCCACAGGTTGACTGTGCGTTGTGTGAAGAAATACTTCCTTTTGTTTGTTTTAAACCTGCTGCTTATTAATTTCATTTGGTGATCCCTAGTTCTTGTGTTATGAGAAGGAATAAATAACACTTTATTATTTACTTTCTCCACACCAGTCATGATTTTATAGACCTCTATCATATCCACCCTTAATCATCTCTTTTCCAAGCTGAAAAGTCCCCAGTCTTATTAATCTCTCCTCATATGGAAGCCGTTGCATACCCCTGATCATTTTTGTTGCCCTTTTCCAATTCCAATATATCGTTTTTGAGATGGGATGACCACATCTGCACACAGCATTCAAGATGTGGGCATACCATGAATTTATATAGAGGCAATATGATATTTTCTGTCTTATTATCTTATTATCTTCTTATCTATCACTTTCTTAATGATTCCCAACATTCTGTTAGCTGTTTGCCTGCCACTGCACATTGAGTGTATGATTTTAGAGAACTATCCACAATCCAAGATCTCTTTCTTGAATGGTCAGAGCTAATTTAAAGCCCATCGTTTTATATGTATCGTTGGGATTATATTTTCCAATGTGCTTTACTTTCTATTTATCAACATTGAATTTCATCTGCCATTTTGTTTCCCAGTCACCCAGTTTTGTGAGATCCCTTTGTAACTCTTCGCAGTCTGCTTTGGACTTAACTCAAGTAGGAAGAGGGAGGTTATTTTCCCTCTATATTTGGCAGTGGTGTGACCGCTGATGGAATACAGTGCCCACAATTCAAGAAGGATGTTGATAAATTGGGGAAGCTTCAAAGGAGAGCTGCAAGAATAATTAAAGGATTAGAAAACATGCCTTTTAATGATAGTCTCAAAGAGCTAAATCTATTTAGTTTAACAAACAGAAGGTTAACGGGTGACTTGATTGAAGTCTACAAGTATATACATGGGGAACAAATATTTAATAATGGGCTCTTCAGGCTAGCAGAGAAAGGTATAACACAGGGGTAGGCAACTTATGGCACACGTGCCGAAGGCAGCACGCGAGCTGATTTTCGGTGGCACTCATACTGCCTGGGTCCTGGCCACCAGTCCGGGGGGCTCTGCATTTTAATTTAATTTTAAATGAACCTTCTTAAACATTTTAAAAACCTTATTTACTTTACATACAACAATAGTTTAGTTATATATTATAGACTTATAGAAAGAGACCTTCTAAAAACGTTAAAATGTATTACTGGCACGCAAAACTTTAAATTAGAGTGAATAAATGAAGACTCAGCACCCCACTTCTGAAAGGTTGCCTACCCCTGGTATAACATGATCCAATGGCTGGAAGTTGAATCCAGACAAATTCAGACAGGAAATAAGGTGTAAATTTTTAACAGAGTGTAAATAACTATTGTCCGCAATTAGCAAAGTTCGTGGTGGATTCTCCATCATTGGATATTTTCCAAAAAGATATGCTCTTATTCAAAATAATTCAAAAGGAATTATTTTGAAGAAGTTCTATGGCTGTTTTATACAGGAGGTCAGATTCGATTATCATAATGGTCCCTTCTGGCTTGGAATCATTTAGTATGATGAACAGTGTTGGACTTCGTAGTGCACTCTTCTGAAAATGTTGACCTGATAGTTGAAGTTCAGCTGATGCACAAACTTTAAAAAATGCCATCACTGACTTGATCCTACCTCTGAAGTAAAACTCAGCTACAACGTTATACAACAGTTTAGGTCAGGAATTGAAAAAGCCATGTGTAACAGAAACTGCAGGAGACTTGGGTAGGCAGAATGTAATTACCCAGGTAACAATTTCACCAGGACACAAGTGCTAATGCTTATAAAGTCCAACTGGCAGTACAGGTATATAGTGATGGCAGTTTTAAAACGTATGTCAGAGAAGAACTGATTCAAAGAATAATTGGTAGAAAGTATTTGTAAAAAAGTCCTATGCCCCTCTGCTCCTGTGCAGTGATTGGCAGCACAGCAGTCCAATATCCCCTAAAGTGACAAGATACATATATGTCACTCTTTAAAACTCTGTGGCTGATCCCAGAGTTCATGGCTGCACAGCCAGTTTAGTATCTAAGTGGGAGAAGGAGAGTTCTCTGAACAGGGATAGGCAATCTGTCTATACCCAGATTTGATTAATGTAATTTTTTTTAAATTTACCCCACATATTAACAATCAAACTTTGATTGTTTGAACTGAATCTCTGTTGTTTGAGGGTCAGATATGTCCTCTAAGCTTTGACTTCTGCATGTACATCTATGGACTGAAGTCCAGGACCACATCTGCTGCTGCCCCTACTGGGCTGGCCAGCCTTAGGGAAATTGGCCAGCTGTCTATAATCAAGGGAACTGGACAGCTTGCTCTAAAGTCTGCAGTCAGGATCAGAGGAGGCATATTTCAAACCCTAGTGGTCCAGGCCAATGATTATGTGAAGGCTTCTACACAAGAATGAGACCTCTGGATAATCAAAGTTCTATTGTACTGTTTTCCTTAATTTTTAAACAGTTATATTTGCAAATATTGTCAGAAAGGAAAGTGAGGAGGTTTGGATTGTTCCTCACAAACATAAAATGTTAGTTAGTCTCAGTAGGTTTGTATAATCCAGTTTGTGAAGGTACAATGGAGCATTTTTGTATTTCTCCACAAGGTGGTGATTTGTCTGATGGCTGAGGGAAGAGAGACTGTTATAGGTAATAGTTTGAGAGCAATTCTAGAGAAAAGAAGATTACTTATTATAAAGGTCAGTAAGGCTACATAGTGTGTTTACAGATGGAAAAATTAAGTCTTTGATCCTGCAAAGACATATATATGTTTACTTTATGCAGTATGAGTAGTCCCATTGGGTTAAGCACAAGGGTAAATTTTTGCAGGATCAGGCTAAGGATAGGGATATATAATAGAGATGTCTAGCTATTTTGTGGAGAGGAGCAAAGAGTCTGTCTACTTGTGCAGTTCAAATTGTTTGTTGCTTGTTTTAATGATTTTAGAGTTGTGTTTAAAAACAAAGTTGAAGGGAAGGAACAATAGGATGTCTTTTTCTATGTTAGGGATATCACCACCAAAATGGGACATGTACAGCATCTCTGGGAAAGATACAGTACCTCTGTTGTTGTTCGCGTAAAGGAAACACTATTAAATTCTGTACGGTAATTTTTTGGAACTGGGACAGTAACAAAACCAAGATTTTGTTATCAGTGTAAAGGTCAGCAATGCAGACAGAGATTAGCACAGTATCTCTTACAGGACAAAGAACTTTAATTTTAATAATTCCACCAGTCATAAATTTACTGTACTTCAAAATTAACTATTTGTGTGTGTGCTCCTGGATGAAATAAATAAACTGGAAACTCTGTTGTTTTGATTTAATATTCCTCTTATTCTCTTGCATAACTATATGAATTTGGATAGGTCATGACCGTTTTTTTCCTCT